ACTGTTCAACACTCAAAATATAACGCAGATTTCCTGCAGCTTAACCAGTGCTTCTTTCCAAACTAAAGAGCTACTCACATAGCAGGTCAAGGATAAATTGCTAACGATGGCCTCAATAATGTGCGTCTGCGAATTAAAAGTTGGAATGTCCCCTATTGCATAGGCCATACCCAGTGATCTTCATCCAGGTGAGCACAAAAGTGTACTTGAATCTTTGTATAAAGAGGCCAAAAATATTTGAATCGTGTAATCTTAGCAAACTGTCTGGAGAAGGCATTCTCGATGATTTACGATGTCCTTGGAGACGTATGTAATAGAGTCCAACTGGGTTTTCTGTCAGTCAATACAAGATGACCCAGTTTCCATATCTGGATGAGGCGTGCGCAGCCTCTTTATTCACCTCAACCTCCTCCATTGATGTTGAAAATTAACACTTGAAATCCCAATTCCATTTCTTTCTGTTCTCCGTTTCATTACACTGTGCAGGTTTTATTGTCGACTTTCTACAGTTTCATGATCTTTTTCATTATGTCAATTGACCAAGGTTCACGTTATGTTCTTCAGATTCGTTGTTTTATTTACACGACGCGTTTCAATCCACTTTATTAAATTCTTCATTACTCGATAACGGTCCATAAATAGCACATTTGTATTCACAACATACCAATGATATGACTTTTTACTTATCATTCTTATCTGTCACCTTTGAACTTAAGTATAGCGTATTTGTATCTGCGTGTTTATTCCTCAGTGGTACTCACTTTGTATGTCACACTCCTGACTGCACTCATCCCTTGAAACAGATACTGTTTTCTTGATTATATATACACAAACATACCACTGAGCAAATCCGTTTCATGTTGTCTCATGTCCCTATTGATCATACACATGTCAAATGATAATCAAAACGCAATGACTATTATATCACCTCATACTTCTGTCATGATACACTTTCTGATATAATTCTCAATTGCCTTCAATGAAAATTATTTACCAACAGGAATGGATTTGTAACCGAAAAGGTTGAGACATTTACTGAAAGTGCAATCTGGAAAGTGAATAGCGAGTCAGATCATCAGTGGCATTGATGTTGGTTCACTTCTGGGTGAAATGACGCAACACTGTAAAATTTACAACATTTTCCTTTCCATGCACAACATTGTCACGTGTGTTTTGCCGAATGTAGATGTTTAGTGACAGTGAAATAGACATTAGTGTACACCGTTACAACGAATCCGATGTCGAGACTCAAATCTACTTCATTAAGTCAAGATTCTTCAGTGAGTGTTTGCTTTCGTAGATGCGCTTGTTCAGCATTTATGAATTCGCAGTGAAACCATTCATCTCAGAAAATGAAAAAAACAAAGAAAACAAAATCCACAACTAGATCTACAAATCCCGAATATTACACAATTCCTTAATGACTGACTCCTGAGTTCAATGTGAATGTCCCATTGACTTCCATTATATATGTATATACATTTTGCTGTTAATATGCCAACATACTGTACAAAGTCAAACGACTCACACTTCTGACTCAAGAAACAGCGCACTCGCTGCAATCATTGTGAATCCGTGTTCATTTCAAAACTGTTGCATAAAACAGGCAAAGTGAAACTTGCAACACACCCAGATAAATGTCGTCAACACATAAATTTAGTTCAAAACAGTATTTGTTTCAGACCACGCGAGAATTAACTCACCTCCGAAATCTCTGATATTCTGTGCGTAATATCTCATCCAATCAAGATCATTTTGTATGTCATTGAGATTCCAAGTGCCAGAAACTATAACATTATATCCATCTAGAATGGCATTGTAGACGTGTTTTTGCCAATCTACAGTTTTCCAGACATGAATGATTGTTCCATGGTCAATCTGTTAAACCGAATGAAACATTTGTAAAGTTAGTGGTATGAACATCAAACTGATGTAACTATGCAGTTTAATTTGAAAGGAATTATCGGTTGATTGTTATTCTGGAAATTCGGGATGGCGCATTATCGAATGGATGAAGCATTTCGTTTACAGTTTGACTGTATGAAGTTATTTAACCTGAGATCTCAAATTTTCTGATGCATCTTTTCAGAGGTTTGCCAGACATTTGACATGGACAAAATATGCAACACGTTAGATTTATTCAACCGAAGAATGAAACTAAATCATCTCTGTTCTTTAATTATCTAGTAAACTTTCAAGATGAGTAGCGACCATAAATTGAATTAAATAAATGTTGATTTGATTCTGTTCATGTTTGTTAACAGTGAAAATGTAGATACAAGTTTCTTTCTGTTCAAGACTCATCAACTGGTTGTATGATCACTCTACTGAACGACAGGTTTACCACTGGAACTGAGAACAAAGACACAAGCCAGGATGTCTGTTCTGGAATCCCATGTGTCAACAGACACTCAACACAGAGATATAGAGAACGAAAATTTCCATTAACGAAGTGAAATCCTGTGTCCTGTCGAAATTGAATAATCACATGAAATAACTCCATTGATCAAATACAACCAGATGAATTCACGATCAAGCACAGGGATTATTCTGTTGTATTTAGGTCGACTGGGTTGTGAGAGTGAGAGAGCTTAGCCACACTCAGCATGACAGACTCCACTGGACAAGTAATAAGAGAAAATATTCTCCTATCGCCGTACATGAAGTAACACCCAAACGCAGCATTCGGCGACCTAGATCTGTTTCCCTGATGGTGATGAGATAGATGGATTATTTTATCTTTAGACAGCAAATCAGCCAACATGGAACAAATGTTTTAGACGTGAACTAAAATAACTTGAAAATAAATGCTTGCAATAATCTGTCATTGAAGTATTCTTCAAAATATATGACTGAATCACAACATTACTGCTTATCGTCAAGTAAAAAGGACTGATAATGTTTTGTCAGTGGGACACAGATAATCATCACTGAATATCGAGTGTAGTGATCTAATTACAAGCATATTTTCCAAAACTTACTTCACATTCATCACGATAACTCTCCTGGTACACAATTGGAGTGATCGGCAATTTAGGGTCTTTCGTCATGTTCTTAACAATCTCAATAAGTTTCACAAAGTGATATTTATGTAATTGGTAATAATCCTCACCGAATTCCATTTCTTCCATGAATTCAATTATTTCCGGATTCGACCGCCTAAAATGAACAGGAAGACAATAAATAAATTTGTTCCATGTTCTTGTCGATGATTCAATTTAAACTGCCTACAAATAAGGAGCAGCAATTTGAAGTCTCCCGTTAATCTACATGAATTAATTGTTAAAATACAACTTGATCAGAGATTGTTGATGAGGATTTTCTATTCCACTCAATGGAAGGAAGAGAATGAGATAGATGAGTGCTGTAATATTCAGTGTTCTACTGAAGAAGAAAGAAGAAATAGTCGTGTCTTATGGACAGTTGTCTTCATTCGTTTATGTTAACCATCCAGAAGAGGAATAATGTGAGATTATATTTCACTGGCGGTATGTAGCTACCATGTTTGATTGCAATAAATGTCTTGCAATCCACTGGTAATATCAGATAAATGGACACTTTAATACAAAATAATATTTTGCTAAATCAGTTAGTCAGGTTTAGAAACGGTCGAATGTTGTTATACACTGTTTCCTGTACACACAGTTTTCGATGCAAGTTATTAGGCATCTTCAGCACAAACTTCAAAATGACGTCACGACACCACTATAAGTGGTGTTTGTTTTCATATTACTAGTCAATCTACAAATTGGCAACTCAAATGCGGTGAAGTCTTATTGAAAATACCATCCATGTCACTTCCTAGTGCTTAAATCGAGAGTTGTTCTTCCTGTTGCTCCCAAGGAATAATTATTGAAATGCAAATGAATCGATGAGAAAATTGTTTAAATGAGACTAGTTCAGCGCCTGTTAATCTGAGACAGATAAAAGTATGCCTTCAGTTTGAAATGAAAATATGGCGATGCCATAATATTGATTCTATATTTACTCTTATGTAAAATCAACAGAACTCACCAGCACTCATAGTCAACCTCATTGCCGCCAAGGTGAATGTAATTGTCATGAAATCTTCCGACGATTTCTTTAAAGAATTTCTCCAAAAAATTATACAACGATGAATTGGATGGATTCAATGGACCCAACTTTCCATTTGGTTCAGCGCCGTCGTAACATTTGGTTAGTAAGTCTGGATATCCTTTCCCCCATGACAATGTATGCGCTACAAAAGATGATTGTGACAGTCAATGGAGATCATCCGTACAATATTTCGACAAATAATGTCGTTGAGATACAAAATACGATGATTAATGCATTCACCATCTGAGATTGATTCGTATTCTGCTGTCTGAAATTATACCCTGTTCAATTCATATATCACATGTATTTCGCACTAACTACGTTGGTCCATTCAAGGATCAACTGCAAGACGTTGAATGCGAACATTGGACCAATGATATTCACGTAGTTCACTGGTCGGATAATTCCGCATATTGTCTAGATAATAGTTGGCGACTGAACAGAATCACAAACTGTGAATTTTTCACAACCACCTTGGGTTTATAATTTCCAGCAAAATCAAACCTCCTAAGTAACTCAGCAAAGGTAAACGCCTCTCATCATCTCCTTGTTTCAACATACCTTCAAACACGAAATCATGCATAAACTGCACTATATTTATGATGACTATCTTGAATTGGTTGATAGACAGTCTACTTTCAGCATCATTCCAAGAGCATGTTCATACTGATTCAAATCTTTGCATGGCATTATTTCATTTGAACTCACATGATGGACAATTACATCATATTAAAAATATATTTAAAATTACCTACCTGGAGTATCAAACTCTGGAATCACACGAATTCCACGTTGACGGGCGTAGTCCAACAGTTTTTTCACATCTTCTTCAGTATATGTGCACCTCAGAGGATGATATGCACCCTGTTGTAGTTTAAACAAACATTTCGATCAATAGATGACCTGATTTTCACCTCACTTACCTGCTTTGACAGTTCCGGACAAGTAGTCGAGACAAAGGGAAATGATTGATCATCTGTAATATGCCAATGAAACACATTCATCTTGACCATGGCCATGCTATCCTGGTAAGAGAAAGCATCATACTGACTATTGCACTTCTTACTATTAGTTTCTTCAGGATATCAAGTGGCAAGAAGTATCTCGCAGTATCTATCAGCATTCCACGGTGTACGAATTCTGGTTCGTCCATCAAAAATCCTTGAAATATAACATTCTGTATGATGAAATGAATTAATGAAATCAAGCCATAGGTAAAAACGAAACTCACCCCTCCATCTTTTCCCTGGTACACCAATTGAAGTATGGTCTCAAGGGCGTGTAAAGCACCCCAAACCTCAATGGAGTCTATGTTAATTTGGGAATCTTCTATCTTCACATTATCTGCAAAATGGTGATTGAATTAGTCGTTATGGTACAACTCACATGATTCATCAGTTGATGCAGTTAATGATGGCCATAGCTGACCATGTCTTTCGTCACATCCCAATTGGATTTTGATAGTCAGAGTGTTAATGTTGCATGGGACTTCAACTTTTTCGGAAATTGGCGGATGTTTTAATTCCAGACGATTTTGAAATCTCGTCACAGCTTCTGACAATATATTGCATGAGGAATAGCTGTGTTGAATGTTGAGTGGACGTGTTAAATGGCAAAGTGTCGAAGATTTTTCGTAAAGTGACGGCTTCGGGACTATTGCTATTGTATAAAGTGAGTTATTCAGCAGCAGTGCAATCAAGAACAACACAGAATTAAAAATCATGATTCCTCTGTTCTTGTCAATATCTTTATTACTTCAATTTCAGTAGATTTTATGTTAACACTGAAATGGACTTTGATCTCATCTGATATTTAATGACAGAATCACCACACAATCACATGAGTATTTCATCTAAGTACTTGTTTTTTTTCGACTGAATATGGTTACCATGGTCTAACAAACTGTACTGGTTGATGTGAGTGGTGTACAAGTACTTATATCAACCAATCAGTATTATGTAGGTTTTGTATGGAGTGAATACAACTCCTAACAGTTGACACACACATGCGTTAACGTGTTTATGTCAAGCCATGACTATAAAACTTCGGCTGATTGTTGTGCAGTGGTAGCTAGAAGTTTTAGATCCTTATGGGGAATACGCAGCACTTCAACTAGAGTCACCTGTCAAGTTTTCAATAATTCATATGCATTTCTGGTAAAATCGAAACTAGAAAACTGCATCCAGGTAGCCAGTCCTTGTCTAAAGACAGTCTCACAGATAATAAAAGAACACCAAAAGAATTCCAGGCGTACAAATTTTGGTTTGACCATTTTATCATAGTAGAAAAGCACAACAGTTTAAATCGCTTCTCCTTATCATACTATTGGCAGACAGGATATCTCGTCACAGTGTTATAATATGTAAAATATGACCATGAACTTGACCTATCTTTTCCTTTCCTCCCCACGCAACATGTGCATTTCAAGAGAAATAGGACGACCGTTCAGAAAACGAGAAGGAACTATATTGTTGTGAGTACCATTTCTTCCATCAAGTCTTCAGTTGACGCGTTCAAGATGAAATTAGGCAAGTAAAGGTATCTATTTGAAAAGCCTTCTATCGTCAATCAAGAAATGCTTTGTTGGGTGTGAAGCACCCTAAGTGAGCGGATTTTGGACCTTGAGGATATTTTAATCAGACAGCCTTCGTTCACTTGATAGTCTTTCCACTTGTTTGAGGAAGAGGAAAAGGGTATAAGATGAGCAGCAGCAAGAGGTAAAAACGAAGATTGGAACGAGTGAGCCAATCGATACCAAATTTGGAAAAATGATAAAAAGAGAGAGAAATATGTAGAAGCTAAACGATTGATAAAAATTAGACACATACGTATGATTGAATAAAAAGACAAGGCGGAACTGTTAGTGACAGCACGGATAGGAAAGTTATTTGTAAATGGCACAATCACGTCACTAGACTGTTGATAATTCTAAAAAACTAGATACCAGCTATATCAGCACTCGACCTTGGGCACAAGCACTCACTATATTAGTGCCTTTTTAATGGTAAATTTTTAAATTATCACTTCGTAACCAGACTGCAAAACGTGCGCTTATCCAATCGAACAATACACTGACACAGCTCGTTGTGTTTCAGCCAAAGTTAGGCTTTCACAAACGAAGTATTAGTGACTCACCCTCACAACTCCTGAAAGTCATACGCTCTTTCCCATGTGGATACAACAGGTTCTTCAAATCTAAGAAATGAGTGACTCCTATTGGCTTAAAACAAGTCATTTCTGCAAGCGTCAACGTGTGGAGCTTACCAATAATTGTTAGTTATCGTGATACGTATACTCACTGAGAAATTGGGACCAGTATTGTTTGAAATAACATAGATGTCGAAAAGAATATGAATAACATGATAGACGTTTTGATGAAACTGACCTTCAGTCAAATAGGTTCCGACAGAATGGGCTACATCACATACTGAATCGGTATTTCGCCTAAAGCTTGTACATTTCACTTGCTAGTTTCAACTGTTTGAGTTATTAGGACATAAGTGGTGGTCTGAGATGATTAGTGCTAAAATAAAACACAAAGGCTTCAAAGCTAACAAGCATTATTGGTTCTTGTGGTGTTAAGCACACGTCATAGACTGCATTCTTGGATCTGACTTTTGAAAATTCTGATTATTTCACAGTCACTGTGATGTTGGCAGTTACATGACCACAGATTTGAATTGATTAACCGATTTCTTGATGAGGGTCGTTCCCATTCCTATTCCATTCAGATGTGCCAACCATGTTTTAAATATTTCCGAAGTGTAATTTGACTGGTTTCAGTCCTGCATTCGAGTATCAATAATCTAAAGGATGGCGAAACTGTCTCAGTGGAGTGATCCAGCGCAGTACCCGTGGAGAGAGAAGAAGACAGAAGAAAACTGCATGAGAAGTGCAAAAGTAGCTAGCAAGTGTCAGTAATTGAGTAGTGATTTACCAGTAATAATAATTATTATTGTAACAACGAATAAAATAAGGCAGTGATAATCTGCAATAACCATATAACCATTATATCTCGTTTCTGGCTTCCCGAGTGGAATACAGCAGCATGTTTCCGTTGCACTTGGTTCTCTGCTATCATTTTGAACTACATTCGGAAATGTCAAAATGGTCCAAGCTTCTTACCACATGATCTCCCTGATACCCTCACATACCCAACTTGTCAAATGCCATTCGATGTTCCACTCGATGGTCTGGAATGTAAATTTGAATTTCTGTTATGTGTGTTCAGCCCATCTTCATTTCTTCCTGAATAGTCATTGGCCAGTATTTTATTGTTTGGTTCCTCATTGGAGTTCCTTATTCCTTCTGACAATCTGGACCTCAGGATAGGGTAAAGGCAGTTTTTGATGAAATGATTCAGCCAGTGGGTGTCTACTGATGAAGGGTCACAAACTAGGACCAAACAGCTGTCCAGTACTTCCAGGTCTTCTAGGGGTTCTGTAACTGATGTCAGCTTATGATGAAATCCTCCGAGGAATCGAACAAAAATCCCTACAAAACAAATACTTGAAAATTCTCTTTGTGATGTGTGAGTCTCTGGGCCATATGAAGGCCCTGACATAACATCAGCAATCTGGATCTCACTCTTCGTACTGTAGGTGTTCCCACTGATTTCAGGATAACGATTGCCTGTTTGTCTATTCCACTACGCTCCTGGCTTTGACGTCCAAATGTCGTTCACCTATAGTTGAAGCCATCCTTCGAAGGTAAGTGAAAGGGACGACTTCCTTTAGATTTCTCCTACTGGTCAGTAGCATTTGTTATTAGTTAGACATCTTCATCAGCTCTGTCATCAGTCTGTTTACCTGATGTGCTGTCTGAGCTATCTCTTATGCCATGTTGTCAGTTTTCATCTGTAGAACACATCTGCGAGCATCTGTATTATGAGACAGAAACCATCAACGAAATTGAAGTCTGTGTGTGTTTTCTGATCGAATTTATCCTATTCTTTTCACTGCTTGGGGCCAGCGGGTTGATCGTCACATTCCCAATTAGATCTTTTCCATTCCGTGGACTTTGTGTTTTGAATAACTTGAGTTTGATAGTGTGGCGTTAGGATTCACAACTGTCTTTTATATAGCGAATTCTGTGGAAAAGTATTATGTGGACTAACAAACAACCAGTCTCATTAGGATAACTTTCAAATTGTGAAAAATGCAAATGAGGAATATTTTTACCCCATTTGTATGAATGTTTACCCCATGTCTGTGTATTCCTATAGTCATAATTAGACATTACTGAAGCAACCAATGCACAACGAGGACCTCGATGATGAAGCAACAATATGGAGAATAATTTGGGGAGGAAGCTAACGGGATCACACTCTGTCATTCATGAATCACATCTCACTGTACTGAAACCGTACACCCTAGTAGATTTCGATGGTTATTCACACATTTACAGGTTCTCGAGAGAACCACATACAGTCATCCTGGCCTACAGAAAGACCAGACAGAAATGCATTTCAGTAATGACAATAATTTCTTCGGGTGATATTAATTCACAAGATGAAAATTATTATCCAATAGAAGTGCATAAAAATAGTCATCATAATTTCGAAACTGCTCCACGTGTACTGGAGATATAGTTGACAATGAGTACGTGTGTTTGAGTGTGGTTTATTCGGAGTAGTTTTGTTTCGAATGAACAAAAATCAAAGCTCATCCCTTTCTCATTAGTTAGTTAGTTATTTAAAAAGTACAAATCAATTTCAGTTGAAAACTAATAATCTTACTGTTATTAGAGGACTTGAGACTTAGACTATTATAACCACTTACAGGTAGTGTAATCGATCAGTTTTCAAGAACACTCGTAAAGTTTTATATTTGACTTATGCTCATATGCATCATATTTCATAAAGACCATACTGTTCAACTCTAAATCACTTGTAACTGCTATTTGTATTCATTCGTTTTCAAACTGTGGCAAATTATATGAATCGACCTCGAAGTGTTTCCATTGTTAAAAATGTTAGAAATCGAGCAATTGAAAACGAGTTGACGCGACAGTCAGAAATGTGATCAATTTCATGTGATTCGCTGCCTACTATGAATAAATAGAGCCGATGAGGAGGTACCATATTGTTTTCATCGGTAATGAGTTGCCTATTGGATAACTGTTTAAAGCTATTAGTCCCTTCTTTAGATTTAGATTGTGCTATTATCCTTAAAAGAT